GTGCCACTGTGCGTTGGTGCATTAGTCAAGCACACAGTCTGCTTATAGCTGTAAAAAATAATCTGATCAATACAGCTGCTTTTTTGCTTGTAACAGAGGCGCTAACCTATTATTATGAGGTAGATCAGTAACTCCCAATGAGATACATTAAAAGAAGAAAAGAAATCGTTTTCTCATCCAGACGTTTTGATATGGAGCCTGAAAGAAAACGAACGGTTTCGGCCTGCGGATCATTTCAATCTAATATATACAAATATTAGATCTACGTCCTTTTCATCTATTAGACTCCGAATAGATCTCAAAAAGTCTCTGTTTCAATTATTCCATTTATCGCAGGTGAAATGTCGCATTTGTGCAAGTGAACTGTCATCTAAATAAGCAACAACAGGAGAAGAAGAGGATTGTAGCGACTTTTAAGCCCTCCTTGTTGTATGAAAAAAAGGAAATAGGCTCCTCTATCTGTATGAGACGCTGACCGTTTGTTTAGAGAAGCACACTGAGTCTCAGGTTGTTTAATGCTATAAAGGAAGGACTAGGCAGTTTTTAAAAGTTATAATTAAGGATCACCATCCTCTTAGCACTGAGAGTGAAGAGTTTGGGGAACTGCTTGACCCAGAATACGTTTTGCCTTCCAGAGAGGCTTGTATAACTTGCCTAAAAAAAGAAAAGAGAATCGCCTAAATCCAAGAACTTTGAAAGATTTTTTTCTTTAGGAAAAAAAAAATCTTACATCAGTCAACAAGCAACATTACATCCACAAACCTTTGACTTAAAATTTTACATTATAACATCGTCACATTATAGACTGTGTTTTTAAAAGATATTTTAAAATTAAATAATTCGCATTGAGATATAGAATAATAAAACCTTACAATAACTATTGAACTTTATTGATTTCATAATGGAGAAATTTACCTCTGCATCTAACCCTTACCCTTGGTACGGAAGAGGATTAGGGCCACTGGAAAAAAAAAAAAAAAGTTAACTGATTTTAAATTTTATTGCAGTTTATTTTGGGAAAAAAGTCAGAATTCTGACTTTTTTCTCAGAATTCTGACTAAACAAGCACCAGTGCCGAGATCATCACAGGCAAGGCCTCTATGGGCTTATAAGACACACAAACATATTCAAAGATGTAGACAGAGAACAACATCCTTTAAACATGAAGTTTCCTCCATTAAAACATACTAAACTGACTGAAACACACGATGCTTCATTACTTAATACTGTAGTTAATGTTCATCACTCATATAAAAGAAATCTGGGTAAACAATACATTTCTAATAATCATATTCAAAGGACAATAAATCCTTTTTTTCCATTTTCCTTTAAATCAAACAGGTAACATTTTACAAGATTTATTTTGTCCTATTTGACACGTTATTGTACACATTAGGAGCACAGTATATTCAGATAAGGCCTGAATGTTTGGTTTGTTGTTCCAATTTGAGCCACTAGGTGTCAGTATTACTTATTGCTCCTTTAATGTTTTAATTTAAACTCTTGGGGTTATTGTATTTAAATATGACAGTTATTAATTTATCACTGATTTTCTTTAATCAGTAGAGATTAAACATGAGGCTAGTATATACAAAAAAAACCCATCAAAATCATTCATATTGGAATAGCCTAGCAAGTTAAAGAGGAACCACATGTTTCCCTTGCTATACAATATAACGCAGCGTAATCCTGGTTGGATATTTGAATATATTTTGTAATGCTAACGTTTGCAAAGTTTTGGGGTTTTTTGCATTTTCAACAAGTGTTTTAATTTACCTTTTTGGTTGAAATTTTGTTATATTCTTGAAATAAATATTTTTATTTAAAAAAACATGTTATTTATTCAGCTTGGTGTTCATACAGTAGAATTATGGCCCTTCAACATTGATCAGGTTTGGATAAAACAGTTTGATTGTGGAACGACCGACTGAGAAATGTGCAGACTGTGCTTAAAGGTCAACCCTTGATCTAGAAATGTTAATCTATGAGCTCCATCTTTAAGAGTTAAATATTCAGCCAGGGGCCTCTTGATAAAAAAAAACACTTTTGTTTCCCTGCAGATCACTATGAGATTTTAATGACATAAAACTAGTTTTAATACTTTTTGTGAGCATTATTGCTTCAGCTTAAATTGTGAATGAAAATAATTTTGTCCTTAGATCGTTCTGGATTTTTAAGACAGGTCTGGTTGTGGCTTTATATCGCAGCTTTACTCCACTAGATGAATTTCTCCTTTCTCAATCTTTATTCTTTGATTTATTTCTAAATGTGAGTTGAAATTAACCTTAATGGAAGTCCAGGAAAACTTTCTGTGGAAGCCATTCAAGTTGTGTTTGAGGAGTTGAGGAAAAAAGGTAAATATGTCTCTGATGTTTGTCTCACACTCATCTCCAGCTGTGATAAACTTACTTGGTGTCTGACTTCAGGCAACCTGGAGTGGTTGGACAAAAATAAGTCGCGGTGTTTGGTCATGTGGAGACGACCGGAGGAATGGGGGAAGTTGATATACCAGTGGGTGAGTTACAGACTGTACTTTGTTGTCACGGCTGATAATGTGAGAGGATCTGTTATTTATAGAGCTGAGAGATTAATGTTTCTCCAATCACATGTTCTTTGGCATTATTTCTCTTTCATTATGTCATTGAAACCTCTGGGATAATCAAACTCTACACCAACCTGATCCTAAATCCATTATTCTTATCCGTGGATTTAGAAATATTTACAAAACTGATATACAGTCAATTGTTTTGTGTTGTGATCTGATTTCATGATTTCTTTGCTGTGTCGTTTTTAAGCTTAATAATTTGAACTTTGGGTGCTTTTTTAATATTAATTCTCAGTCCAGTGGCTGACTGCAATCTGTAGGTCAGTAAAAGAGAAACTTCAGCTGCTTATGAACAACAACCTTAACTCATCGGTCTGCCAGGCTTCTGTTAAGCCGTAAAATATTCTGTGAAAGGAAGGAAAAGAAATTAAGAATGAAAAGTAGTAATTATATTCCAGATTTTTCTTTCAAGACAAAAGTCAAATCAATTCAAAGGAATGCTCGGGTTTATAGTTTGCTTATTGCAGAAAATAAAAAATTTTTTTAACCTTTCATTTTCCAAGTCACACTGATTTGAAGCATTTATTTTTTTGTATTTATGAATGTTGCCACATTTGATCAGAAATAACAAATATCAGTTTGATAGATTGAGAAATATAATTTAAGAATATTACATTTTAAGGAACCCTTAACTAATTGGACCTTAAAGAAATGCTGACTAATCTATATATATATATATATTAGTGATGGAACGGTTTATGAAAACCGTCTGAACCGTTCAGTTCAACTGTCTCGGTTCGGTTCGCGTGCGTTTCGTTCGGTTCATGCGCTGCTCCTTTTTCTCATAGGCGAAGCGATTATACTCCAGAGCAGAAGGTGGCGGTACTGCGACCAAAGCCAACCACCAGTAGTAAACAAGAAGAAGAAGAAGA